TATATGTATATACATATGTATATATGTATATACATATGTATATATGTATATACCTGTACAGATGTATATATGTATATACAGATGTATATATGTATATACAGATGTATATATGTATATGTATATACATATGTATATACATATGTATATATGTATATATTTATATACTTATGTATATATGTATATACATATGTATATATGTATATATCCTTAATCCTTACCAGATTCCCGAACCACCTCAACTGGCTCCTTTTGATGTGGAGGATCAGCGGTTCTACTCCAAGTCTTTCCTGATAACTGCACTTCTCACCCTATCTCTAAGGGAGAGTCCAGCTACCCTGCAGAGGAAACTCATTTCAACCACCTGTATCCACAATCTCATTCTTTCGCTCACCACCCAGAGTTCATGGCCATAGGTGAGGAGTAGAAAAGTATAATGACTGGTGAACAGAGATCTTCGCCTTACAGCTCAGCTCCCTCTTCACCAAAATGGACTGGCACAGAGTCTGCAATACTGCAAATGCTGTACCAATTCGTCTGCCAATCTCATGCTCCATTCTTCCCTCACTCATGAACAAAACCCCAATAATTGAACCACTTGAGGCAGAACCTCACCCTCAACCTGAAAAAAGAAATCCACCCTTTTCCGGTTGAGGACCATGGCCTCAGATTTGGAGACGCTGATTCTCATCCCAGCCGCTTTACACTCAGCTGTGAACCACTCCAGTGAGAGATGAAGATCATGACAAGTCAATTCAATTCAGTATATTTATATAGCACCAAATCACAACAAAGTTGTCTCAGGGCACTTTACAGAAACATTCACAAGCACAGCGGCAACAATGGAAAGGAAAAACTCCCTTTTAAAAGGAAAAAACCTCCAGCAGAACCAGGCTCGGGACAAGCGGTCATCTGCTTTGACCGGCTGGTTTGAGAGGACAGGAAGAGAGACAAACGAACACAGAATGATAGGTCCAGGTTTACCTGAAAGATAAAAAAACACATGTTAAGGATAGAAAAAATAATTACAAATACAAAACAGGTTGAGCAGAGTAAGTAAAGACAGTAGCAGAGTGAAAAGTGTGGTCAGTTTGTCCTCCAGCAGTCTAAGCTTATAGGAGCATGACTAAGGGACAGCTCAGGAAACCCAAGCCGACCCTAACTATAGGATTTATCAAATAGGAAAGTCTTGAGCCTAGTTTTAAAACTGGATAATGTGTCAGCCTCATGGACAGAGATTGGAAGTTGGTTCCACAAGAGAGGAGCCTGATAACTGAAAGCTCTGCCTCCCATCTGTTTTTGTAAATTCTAGGAACCACAAGTAAACCTGCAGTCTGAGAGCGAAGTGCTCTGTTAGGAAAATATGGAACAATAAGATATGTAATATAAGATGGAGCTAGGTTTTGAGAGCTTTGTAGTTTAGAAGTAAGATTTTGAATTCTATTCTGGATTTGACAGGGAGCCAATGGAGAGAAACTAAAACTGGAAATATATGATCTCTCCTACTAACTCCAGTTAAGACTCTGGCAGCAGCATTTTGGATCAACTGAAGACGTTTTAAAGAAGTATTTGGACACCCAGATAATAAACCATTTCAATAGTCCAGTCTAGACGTCACAAATGCATGGACCAGTTTTTCTGCATCATTTTTAGATAAGATGTTTCTAATTTTAGTGATATTATGCAGGTGGAAGAAGGCAGTTCTAGTAACGTTTCTTATGTGGGGGATAAAATACATGTCCTGATCAAAAATAACACCAAGATTTTTAACATTAGAGCTGGAGGAGAGATTAATGCCATCTAAGGAGGGAGAAAGACTGAAAAATTCATTCCTAAGGTGCTCAGGTCCTAAAACCAAAACCTCAGTCTTGTCTGTGTTCAAAAGGAGAAAATTAAGGGTCATCCAGGTTTTTATGTCTTTAAGACATGCTTGTAGTCTAAGTAGCTGTTTGGATTTATTGGGTTTAATGGACAAATTTAATTGTGTGTCATCAGCATAACAATGAAAATGTATCCCATGCTGTTTAATAATTTTACCTAATGGAAGCATATATAAAATAAGGAGTATTGGCCCAAGCACTGAGCCCCATATTGTGATCAACCGTATCAAATGCAGCACTGAGGTCTAACAGGACCGGTATAGACACAAGTCCATTGTCTGAGGCCAAGAGAATATCATTAGTTACTTTTACTAGTGCTGTTTCTGTGCTATGATGAGCTCTAAACCCTGACTGAAACTCTTCAGATTATTTCTTTGTAGATGTTCACGCAACTGACCTGCAACTATTTTCTCTAGAATTTTGGAGATGAAAGTTAGATTAGATATAGGTCTATAGTTGGCCAGAATTTCTGAATCAAGGTCAGACTTCTTAAGTAAAGGTTTAATTACAGTAACCTTAAAGCTCTGTGGTACGTAACCATTCATTAAAGACAAATTAAGTAGATCCAAAATGTGGACGTTAATTAGGGGAAATACCTCTTTAAACAGTCTGGTTGGGATGGGATCTAGCAGACATGTGGATGGTTTGGATGAGGTTATTATTTTTGACAATTCAGAGCTCAACAGGACAAAAACTGTCCAAACATAAATCAGGCTCTAGTGAAATTTTTAAAGTTTTCTCATTTGACAGGGGACTAGAGATAGTAGAAGGAAGGATGGTTTGAATTTTCTTTCTAATTAAAATAACTTTATTTATAAAGAATCTCATGAAGTCATCACTACTTACAGTTGTAGGGATACGTGGTTCAACAGAAATGGGACTTTTAATTAGTCTAGCAATAGTACTAAACAGAAACCTAGGGTTATTTTTATTCTCCTCTATTAAAGATGAGTAATATAAAGTTCTATCTTTATGGAGAGCTTTTTTATATGTTAGCAGACTATCTTTCCAAGTTAAATAAAATTATTCAACATTAGTAGAGTGCCATTTTCTCTCCTTGTTTCTAGATGCCTGCTTTAAAGTACACAACTCGGAATTGAAACAAGGAGCCAGTTTCCTCTGGTTGATTACTTTCTTTTTTCAATGGAGCAATTTTATCAAGTGAAGTTTGCATTGAAGTTGTAAGATGATCAACTAGATGATCTAAGTCACTTTTTTCTGATGCATTACTCTGCAAGACAGAGGAAAACATTGATGGAAGAGATTGTCTAAATTTGGTTACAGTGTTTTCTGATAAGCACCTGCTGAGATGAAATTTACTCTCAGTGACTGTGTAGTCATTTAATGTAAACTGAAAGGTTATTAAAAAATGGTTGGACAGAATAGGATTTTGAGGAACTATTACCAAGTCCTTAATCTCTATACCATAGGTCAGAACTAAATCAAGGGTGTGATGATAAGAATGAGTAGATGTGCGGACGTTTTGGGTAAAACCAAATGAGTCTATTAAATTATTAAAGTCTATGCTTAAGCTATCACTTTCAACATCTACATAAATATTGAAGTCACCCATTAATATGACTTTATCAGTATTTAGTAGTAAGTCACAATGACGCCAACAGGACTACATCATCTGCAAAAAGCAGAGATGGAATCTTGAGGCCACCAAACTAGACTCGCTCCACCCCCTGGCTGCACAGAAAAATTCTGTCCATAAAAGTTATGAACAGAATCAATGGCAACTGGCAGCCCTGGTGGGGTCCAACTCCCACCCTAAAAGGGTCCAACTTACTACTGGCAATGCAAACCAAACTCTCACATGTCTTGTATAGGGACCGAACAGCCCATAACAACGGGCCCCTAATCCCATACTCACGGAGCACCCCCCACTGTGTACCCCGAGGAACACAGTCGAAAGCCTTCTCCAAGTCCACAAAACACATGTAGACTGGATGAGTAAACTCCCATGACCCCTCGAGGACCCTAGTGAGGGTATAAAGTTGGTCCAGTGTTCCACAGCCAGGACGGAACCCACATTCTTCCTCCTGGATCTGAGGTTTGACCAACGATCGGACTCGCTTCTCCAGTATCCCTGAATAGACGTTACCAGGAAGGTTTAAGAGAGTGATGCCCCTGTAATTGGAGCACACCGTCAGATTCCCGTTTTTGAAGAGGAGAACCACCATGTCAGTCTGCCAATCCAGTGCCACTGCCTCTAAGGTACATGATGTTGCAAAGGCGTGTCAACCAAGACAGCTCCACAACATCTAGAGCCTTAAGGAAATCAGGGTGGATCTCATCCACCCCCGGAGCCCTGCTGCCGCGGAAGTTTTTAACTACTTCAGCGATCTCAGCCACAGCCACAGACCAACCCCATATTCCCCTGACTCAGCTTCCTCCACCTGAACACTCGCTTATTACCTTCTGAAAGGTTTTTGTACTCCAATGTGTTGAGCTTTAAATAAAATATTCAAACTCTAAGTCAAAATGTGACTTCAAGCGGTACATTGCACAATACTGACAAAACTTGCAAAATGTTTAAATGACAACACTTGAAACAATATGCTTTATTAATTGGAGGTTTTCTGTGTTTTCTGTTTTATTTTCAGCTGCGTGTGAACCAGGATGAACCTGTGGAAGAATATCTGGCCAGTCTAGAGGAGGCCCAAGCTGGAGCTGAAGAACGAACATGTCTGGGATTACTTTTAGGACCCGGTTTACCCTGCAAGGAGCAGATGAGAGCCAACGTCATCAATGAAATCATGAGCACAGAGCAGGATTACATCAAGCACCTGAAAGACATTTGTGAGGTCTGAGCTAAGGCATGATTTAGTTTTTGTCATGTTTTGTACAACTTTACCATGAAATATACTTTCCTGTTAGCATGAAGTGTCCTATTTATCTGTAAACTAGTAAAGGACTTGATGGCAGATGTTACTCCCAAGTTTTATGAACATTTCTAAAAGCAAAAATCCAACTAAAGTGTGAACGACTGTTTACCAGACGAATACTGTGGCTGTCTGGCGTTTGCAGTAGTCCCTTGTTTATTGTGGGGTTTCGGGACCACGCGCCCCCCCCCCCCCCCTGATAAATGAAAAACTGTGAAGTAGGGATACAGTAGTCCAAGCTCAAGTAAACTTTATTGTCATTACCATCTCATGTGGTACTTGAGATGGAACAAAATTATGCACACAAGTAATAGTAGTAGTAAGTAGTATATTATTTTAGTATTTATATACAGTATATTAAGGCTTTGGAAACCCTTCTCACACTCTTGTAATGTTCTAAACTCTTAAACCTACTAATTTTAACAACATACATACAGGTCCTTCTCAAAAAATTAGCATATTGTGATAAAGGTCATTATTTTCCATAATGTAATGATAAAAATGAAACTTTCATATATTTCAGATTCATTGCACACCAACTGAAATATTTCAGGTCTTTAATTGTTTTAATACTGATGATTATGGCATACAGCTCATGAAAACCCAAAATGCCTGTCCCAAAAAATTAGCATATTTCATCCCACCAATGAAAGACAAGTGTTTTTAATACAAAAAATGCCAACATTCAAATAATCATGTTCAGTTATGCACTCAATACTTGGTCGGGAATCCTTTTGCATGAATGACTGCTTCAATGCGTCGTGGCATGGAGGCAATCAGCCTGTGGCACTGCTGAGGTGTTATGGAGGCCCAGGATGCTTCGATAGCGGCCTTAAGCTCATCCAGAGTGTTGGGTCTTGTGTCTCTCAACTTTCTCTTCACAATATCCCACAGGTTCTCTATGGGGTTCAGGTCAGGAGAGTTGGCAGGCCAATTGAGCACAGTAATACCATGGTCAGTAAACCGTTTACCAGTGGTTTTGGCACTGTGAGCAGGTGCCAGGTCGTGCTGAAAAACGAAATCTTCATCTCCATAAAGCTTTTCAGCAGATGGAAGCATGCAGTGCTCCAAAATCTCATGATAGCTAGCTGCATTGACCCTGCGCTTGATAAAACACAGCGGACCAACACCAGCAGATGACATGACACCCCAGTGACTGTGGAAACTTGACACTGGACCTCAAGCAATGTGAATTCTGTGTCTCCTCTCTTCCTCCAGACTCTGGGACCTTGATTTCCAAAGGAAATGCAAAATTTACTGTAATCAGAGAACATAACTTTGGACCACTCAGCATCAGTCCCAGGCGAGATGCTTCTGACGCAGTCTCTTGTTCAAAAGTGGCTTGAGCTGGGGAATGCGGCACCTGTAACCCATTTCCTGCAAACGCCTGTGCACGGTGGCTCTGGATGTTTCTACTCCAGACTCAGTCCACTGCTTCCGCAGGTCCCCCAAGGTCTGGAATCGGCCCTTCTCCACAATCCTCCTCAGGGTCCGGTCACCTCTTCTCATTGTGCAGCGTTTTCTGCCACACTTTTCCCTTCCCACAGACTTCCCACTGAGGTGCCTTGATACAGCACTCTGGGAACAGCCTATTCGTTCAGCAATTTCTTTCTGTGTCTTACCCTCTTGCTTGAGGGTGTCAATGATGGCCTTCTGGACATCAGTCAGGTCGGCAGTCTTACCCATGATTGTGGTTTTGAGTAATGAACAAGGCTGGGAGTTTTTAAAAGCCTCAGGAATCTTTTGCAGGTGTTTAGAGTTACGTCGTTGATTCAGATGGTTAGGTTAATAGCTTGTTTAGAGAACCTTTTCATGATATGCTAATTTTTTGGGACAGGCATTTTGGGTTTTCATGAGCTGTATGCCATAATCATCAGTATTAAAACAATTAAAGACCTGAAATATTTCAGTTGGTGTGCAATGAATCTGCAATATATGAAAGTTCTTTTTTATCATTACATTATGGAAAATAATGACCTTTATCTCAATATGCTAATTTTTTGAAAAGGACCTGTATATGTAGCCACTAAATTTAACTTACTAGCTCTGCAGAACAGCAACAGCTCTCGTTCCGGTCTGACTCAGACCTATTCCGACTCGGTTCATTTCTGCAGAGTACCCTGCAGAGATGAAGCCCACAAAGCAGTCCTCTAAACTCTTAAACCTACTAATTATAACAACATACTTGTATGTAGCTACTAAATTTTATTTTCAAGGGCTCTGCAGAACAACAGCAGCTGGTTCCGTCTGACCCAATAGAGGAAAAAGTCCCAGTGCAGCATGACTGAAGCCCACTGCCCCATCCAGCTTGATATGCGCATGCTGCTGCTCCAGGAGCAAAGCTGCCCAGGATTTAGTCCACCACCTCTGACCTGGTCTGGACCAGCACCACACAACCAGAACCAGGCTGAACCCAGCAGCTGTCTGTCATCTGCAGCTTCCAGGATCTGGGTCACACTGAGTCCAGATCAACTGCAGCCCAGCTAAGCAGCAGTGAAGATACAACTTGATGGACGAGTTCAGCTTCAGAATTATTTGCAACTTTCCTTCCAGTCTTGTGAGCTTATCCTTACAGTAATTCTGATTTTGCGTTGCAAAACTTTCCTTCCATTTGCAGAAAACAGCGGTTAGAAACAGTGTTGACTTCTGGGAAGTGAATTGATGACTTCTGGGGAACGTAGTTCTTTAGACGGGCAAAACAGTGAAGGCTTAATGAAAGAAAACAAACAAAAAAAAGGCAGCACATTTTTATAAATATTTACAGTACTGTATGTCCACAAACTGTGATAGAGCGAGTCTGCGAAAGTTGAACTACGAAGTAGCGAGGGACTACTGTATTGTCCCCCGTTGTGGAGCGAATAGGGGCAGTTGGAAATACCTTTGTCCTCCATTGGTCTGTTTGCATGATAACTTGAAAAATAAATGAAGTACCGACTTCCATTTTTGTGTGTTGCTGCATCTATACATAAGAAAGGTTCATGTCAAATATTGGGTTGCCATGTCAAAATCCAAGAGGGCGGCTGTGGCTGAGTTGTTAGAGCAGTCGTCTTCCAATGCAAGAGTTGGGGCTTCGAATCCACCAGCAGTGGTGTCCTTGAAGTGTCCCTGGGCAAGACACCGAACCCCTCATTGCCTCCGATGTGTGTCCCATAGGTGTATGAACGTGAACTCAAAGCAGTGATTAGTCTCTTTAGAATTATTTGTTCAATTAGCCTTGTAGAGATAAAGTAGAGTGCTGTATGAATGGGTAAATGAGGACACAGATTGTAGTGTAAAGCACTTTGAGTATCTTGATAAGATAGAAAGGTGCTATATAAGTACAGTCCATTTACCTGCACTGCTGTATATATGTATATGCACCTCATTTATTCCACATTCTGTTATCCATCCATTATATTTACCCACTTCTTCCTTTTTGGTTCGTGGGAGTCTCTGGTGCCCATGTCCAGCTATCATGGTGCGAAAGGCGAGGTACACCCTGTACAGGTCTCCAGTCCATCACAGGGACACATATAGAGACAAACGAGACAAACAACCATTCACTCTCTCACTCACACCTAAGGATAATTTAGAGTTACCAATCAGTCTAACATGCATGTTTTTGGTTTGTGGGGGGAAACTGAAGTACTCAGAGAAAACCCAGCATGCACAGAGAGAACATGCAAATTTCATCCAGAAAGGCCCCTGGACCGAGATTTGGACCGTGGCAATCGTTTCGCTGAGAGGCAGCAGCTCTACCAACTGCACCACCGTACTGCCCCACATTCTGTTATGTTACAACTTTATTCCATATTGTATTAAATTAATCTTTTTCCTCAAAATTCTACGCTCAATACCCTATTATGACAATGTGAAATAAGATTATTTGAGATTTGTTTGAGTAAAAATTCACAGGCTTTGCTTAATACTTTGTTGATCCACCTTTGGCAGCAATTCCATCCTCAAGTCTTTTTGAATATGATGCTTCAAGCTGAGCTCTAGCTCTTTAGGCAGTTTGTCCCATTCTTCTTTGCAGTACTTCTCCAACTTTATCAGGTTGGATCCAACACAAAATGGATATTACTAAGTCAATGTGACAGATATTAAGCTAAAACTGTCTGTAGTAATTGCTGACTCTCATCACCAGTACATATTCCAAGCACTAATTACTGAAGAATATTTTTGTTCAAATTTTGGGCATTTATTGTTGACATGAGCCACCACAGCTAATCCATTTTAGCGAAGACAAACACATCTATAACTCAGGCAATTTTATAGATATTGAGCTAAATTTGGTGAAAAAAGCTGATTAATCCTGAAAACATATTGTACATCATGCACGGAAATATTATGTCAAATCTGGCAATATTATATATGATCAAGCATATCATCCCCCATAGTCCAAACTCATACATGCTAGGCTCAATGGTGAGTCTAAAAGTACCATTACTGTGATGTGCACATGCACAGTTAGTGAAACTGGATGGACCAATGGATGGATGGAGGTCCGGTGGGTTCTGACTCTTTTTGTTCTCTTTGTTTTGCTCAGGGTTACATCAAACAGTGTCGTAAGAGGACAGATATGTTCACCGAAGAGCACGTCCGTACAATTTTTGGCAACATAGAGGAGATCTACCGATTCCAGAGGAGGTTTCTGAAAGGCCTGGAGAAAAAGTTCAACAAGGAGCAGCCCCATCTCAGCGAGATCGGCTGCTGTTTCCTTGAACATGTGAGCTGATTAGTTAAACAAAAAGCATCATAAATCTGGAGACTGACAGAAAGCACGATTTATTTTTACATTATACTGTCCCAGGAATTTTAATAAATGAAAAAATACAATAAAGAGTCTAGCAACCCAGCCCATTATGCACTGTATACTTACCTGGTACATAGTGAGTGTAAACCATGTGCTTATATGGCACTTACCTGGTACCCATGGGGTATGTACTTACCTGGTACCTATGCAGTACGTACTTACCTGGTACACCTGGGATATGTATAAGGTACATATTCTGTATGCATGTAGTATGTATGGGTACATAATGAAGACAGAACTGGTAACTACTGGGTAAATACCTTATACCTTTGAGGTATGTATCATATACTTTTACATTTCAGATATTTACCTGATAATTTCAAGATACAAATCTGATACATATTGGGCTCTTACATATTACATACCTGGTATGTACTGTGTAATGAAGGGTATGAAATGTGCCCTTTACTACTATACTATAGAGTATTTACAAGATATGTATTGGACTGTGTTATGGATGGCTACCAAAAATGATTTGCCTAAAACTGTTGACGCTTCTTGAGTGTTTTTCCTCAGTGGCGTTATGTTTGTTGTTTTACCTGCTCTATTAAAAAAAAGTTATATGTTTAAATGTTCCTTGCGTTAGTTTATGTGTAAATTCTCAGTCCAATCTGTCGTCTCATTACAAATCTTGCTCCTGTTGTTTTTGTCTCACAGCAAACTGATTTCCAGATCTATTCAGAATACTGCAACAACCACCCCAATGCCTGCATCCAGATCTCCAGGCTGATGAAGGTCAACAAGTATGTTTTCTTTTTTGAGGCCTGTCGGCTGCTTCAGAAGATGATCGACATTTCACTGGATGGCTTCTTGCTCACTCCAGTTCAGAAGATCTGCAAGTATCCATTACAGCTAGCAGAGCTCCTCAAATACACCAACCCCCAGCACAGGTGACTGCAAACCTGACTTCCTCAGAAACCAACACTAACCAGACTATTCAGTAGATTTTTTATAAAACACTTCATTACTGCTGCAGCCTAGATTTTGTCTCCAGTTGCAAAGTGAAAAGAGGGAATTGGATATACCCTCTGTCCCTGTTCTGTCCATCCTCCCGTCCGTTCGTGCATGTTGAGTGTACGATAACTTGAAAAATAAACGAGATACCAATTTTCATTTTGGTGTGTGGCTGCATCGAGGCATAAGAAAAGGACCTATGATAAAATGGGTTGCCAAGTCAAAATCCAAGATGTCTTCGACCATATATGTCCTTCCATCTTGTGAGCATGTTAACTTGAAAAATAGGCAAAATGCCAACTTCCAGTATGGTGTATGACTCCATCTAGGCATAAGAATGTTTCCTATTGATAATTGGGTTGTCAAGTTAAAATCCAAGATGGCCATTGCCATATGAATGTAAGCCAGCCACTTCTGTCATTTGAGGAAACTATGCTTTCTAATTTTTATATTACATAAAAGTATAGTTTCTTCAAATGATGAGGGTGGCAGAAGATTAATCAATGGTAGCCAAGGCCGCCATTGGCCACCCCCTGGCTCCTCTATATCTCCTGGTGGTGGGTAAAGCTGCATCACAATGTGATGGGATTATGTACAATCACACTACGAAGTTTCCACTATCAAGACTGGTTTTATTCATTTACACAGCACCAGAATACTAGAAAAAAGAAGGTCCATGCATTTAATGCTTCCTGTTTTCCTGCTTACTGGACACAAATAAAGTTCTTGGGCACATAGTAATAATTTATGTCAGGCTTTATTGGCATACCTATAATATGTTTAGTGTTTTGTGCTTTTAGAGGATTTATTGACGACATGATTGTAATAAGTTTATTCTCTATCTTATTTCTTCAGGGACTACCGGGATGTGGAGGCAGCCTTGAATGCCATGAAGAACGTGGCCAGGTTGATCAATGAGAGAAAACGACGCCTTGAGAACATCAATAAGATTGCCCAGTGGCAGAGCTCCATCGAGGACTGGGAGGTTTGAGGCTTTCTTCTTCTTGGACCTCTCCCTTTCTACCACTAACTGTGAGCACTCTGACAACGTCATAGCTCTGAATGTTTGATTTGATCTTCCCAGGGTGAAGATGTTCTCGTCAGAAGTTCTGAACTCATCTTTTCAGGGGAGCTGACCAAACTGTCCCAGCCTCAGACCAAGAGTCAGCAGAGAATGTTTTTTCTCTTTGATCATCAGATGGTGTATTGCAAAAAGGTATTTCAATCAGTTACGTCCACTATACAGTTTAATATTGGTTTAATATTTCTCAAATATTTTCAGAATGTTTAATTTGTGATGGTGCCTTTTGGCTTCAGGTTTAAAAGTCATACCAATAAATTAGAACCCCTTTTGATAGTTTGTGTGTGTGTGTTTTTTTTTTTTTAACCATATTTGGACATGTGTGAAATAAATTTTAACAGTAAAGAAAGATGTATCCCATGTATCTAAACAATTCAAAGATTAAATTCAAAAATTTAAATTCCATTTAAACAATAAAGAAAAGACATTCTTAAACATTTTGTAAAATGTAACTTAAAAAAAGGGAAGTTTTTGATGTGGAATACATTAGGACACCCCCACTTTTACTCACATTTGAGTCTGATAAGGAATTTCAAAATATCTCAAAACAATTTGAAATTAGCCCTTCCACTGTCTAGAACAGTCTTCAAATGGAGGACATTTAAAACAACTCCCAATATGCTCAGGCCTGGCCATCCAACCTCAAGAGCAGAGTGCAGGATGTTAAAAGAGGTCTCAGAAATCTTAAAATGTCTTCATGTGCCCTACATCGGTGTCTCTCTGCTGTGCATGTGAACGTGCACACCGCTAACAATCACAAAGAGACTGAAGCAGTTTAACTTTCATGGGAAGAGTGCGAGGAGGATATCTGCAAACATAAAGGTCAGACTGGTTTGTCAGAGAGAACATGGACAACAAATAGAACCTCTGGAACAATATTCTTTGGACAGATGTCTAAAATTTTATTATTTGGATGCCATCACATACATCTTGGCTGTAAACCAAATACAGCATTCCAGGACAAGGACCTCATCCCTGCCGTGAAGCACAGAGGTGGAAAAGTCATGATTTGGGGGTGTTTTCCTGCAGCAGGATCTGACCATATTTCTATCATTGAATCCACCATGCAGTATATTCTACTGTGTATCAGTGGGTTCTTGTAGAACATGTGAGATGATTGGTAAAACAATTGAAGCTGAAGTGGAACTGGACCCAAAACATGACAATGACCAAAGAACTGGCTGAAAACAAAGAATCGGAGAGACCTAGAAAAGCCTATCACAATGGTGGAATGCCCATAAAATATAGACTGAGTTAAACAGACTCAAACTCTTAAATAATCAAAGTGGCTTATTAACAGTGAAGACAAATTTACTATTTACAACAGGGAACCTGGGAATCCTGGGGAAGGACAAAAGAGTCAGGATGACTTCCTTCCTTCCTTCTTTCCTTCTTTCCTTCTTTCCTTCCTTCCTTCCTTCCTTCCTTCCTTCCTTCCTTCCTTCCTTC